CTTGACCTTTACCGGCTTTTCCCATATTTATCTATTATTTTAGCAACTTAAAATGTTTTTGCTAAAGCTAAAACATTTAAAAAATAAAAAATTGTCCATCAAATATTTTCTTCCAGTCAAACAAGAAGCCACTTATCTCCATAAACAATGACAAAGATCTCAAGTGCTTGGAGTTCATTCTACATCAATTTGGAAGATTTGATTGGATCGATTTCTTCAAACTCAATATTCTATACCATATTGAGTTTGAGGGGAGGGTGTTAAAGTTAGGAAGATATTTTTGAGAATAATATCTATTATATTTTTCCTTTTAGTGTAGAATTATTTTCCTTTTATAGTTATTTCCTATTATTGTTATTCATAACCCTATAAATAGGATTTTATTCTTTTTAATATTCACAATACCATAATAATACAATTTATATTATTTTTGACACTTATTGTTTTTCATCATTAGGTACTCACTGCTCAACTAAAATAAAAATTATGGCCAATTTAGTACTCAAGCTGGCTCAAAGAAATCAATAAAAATAATAACAAATTTTGGAATATCCTGTTAGTTCTGGGGTTTATGTGAGCGGTATGATGGTTGTTGATGTTTGTATCAAAATAAATTAATATTTAACCCGCAGAAGCGTGATCAAACTATCGATATGTGAACTTGAAAGTGTAGTACAAAACTACAAAATCAAGGTATCAAAATGAAACAAGAAAAGGAGAAGAAAAAGAAATGAAATCCGAGGCAAGTGATGGCACTTTCTCCTTAAGGTAATATTGCCCTGCTATGGTGCTCATGGTTGACGGCAGTTGTCTCCCAAGATACAACAAATGTTTAATCTTGTCGTAGCAGCATTTCACGCCACAAGAACCGGCGAACCAACGGAATTTCTCCCTCTACAAAGGGATTTTATGCAAGAAAAAGAGAGAGATTTTGTAAGAGAAGAAGAGTGTTCAATACAAAATATGAGTTGGTATACCCTTAGGGACGTCCAAGGGGTCCTATTTATAGAGAAGGAAGGGGTGTGGGTCAAATCGTGCAATCTTTCGAATAGTTGCAACATTCCATTTTCGCTAACTTTTCGCTCGAGTAGCGCTTCAAAAATTCGAGTAGAACATACTTCGCTCGAATTTTGCTCGAGCGAGCGAGACTGTCGCTCCAACAAACATTGAGCGACGGTGACGCTATCACTCGAGCGAACATCGAGCGACAGTGTATTTTAGCCCTTTTCCATCGTATTTTCCTCCAATCTTTGGATCACAATTTCTCATTCACTCGGAATTGGTTTCTAATGTCCAAATATACTACGATCATCTACTCGATGAGTAGAACAAGTTGACCTTTTTACTTTTGTAATTTGACCATCGGATCAAGTCCGAATATTCGGTCGAAATTGACACGTTAGTGACACTTTCTGATTTCAATTTTTTTACTTAACCAATTTCCGATCTTTCATTTTAATTTGGAAACCAATTTCCAACATTTCCTCCATGCCATATCATGACTATACATTCTGGGAGAGGAGAGTTGCCAGATAGAGTTATTGTGTGTGCCAAGGGCATATACTTCATTCTTTCTATAGTCTTCATTATTTTGAGAATTGGATATCAAACCTCATTTAGTTATTAGGTAATAAGCAAAAGTCTTTTCTTCTTTTAGTTAGGATCAAGATTAAGGTTGGTTTTTTATTGTCATTCTATGTTTCTGACTCACTTGGTTAACCTGATTTCAGAGGTACATAGAGAAATCTAAACTAATAAAGCATTCTTGTTTTCCTTTTAATTGTTGATTACACAGATTTAGGACATATTTTTGCTGGTGTAACTTAATTCTTAGTTGTCTTGTCTGACATTTACGAACTCAATACAAAAGTTATCTACTGAAACGATGTTGTTATAGCATATTTGATAGGGAGGTGAATAGCACTACTATATAGTTTTAAGAAAGAATTTTTTCTTTTTCCCTTTTTTTTTTTTTTTAATAATATTACTTATTGATATATGTCAGAACAATGCTCTTACCGAGCTTAAACGAGTACATATTTTAATACAAGAAGCTATGAATACACACTATTACTCTTCATATATAAAGCTCCCAATAAGAGTCACGTGGAGACACTACGTGTGGACATTTGACAGTCAATCAAGTCAAAATAAGGAAAATACAAGAGTTGCTCTGTAGTTGAGGTGCTACCTCCATCAATGGTTCTTCTGTCAAGGTGCTTTCTTTTAAAGTCAAACCTCTTCACATCCGAAACTCTCTCTCCTAAAGTCGAAGTGCTCGTTGTCTTTAAAGCAGGTCCGATGAATATCTTTAGGAATGATTGATATAATTGTTGGGAATCTACTTATACATGCACAGCGGAATTTAAAATAATTTTCGATTCCCACCAAGAATCGCCTTTGTGTTTAGATAGAAATTGTGATAAGATTGTACATTTTCCAGATCTGCAATCTTTTTGCTTTTCTTTTCGTTCCATCAACCTTTATTCGCCACCACAGCTGTCCAATTGTCCAACCTCAAACGGTGATCCACACAGAGAATATGATTGCAGCCTCTAGGGTTTTTTTCTTGTGCCAACAAGAATAATGAAAACCTTATTGGACCTCAAACCCTAGTTATGTATTTATATAAACCCAAATAAGCTCGGCCCGGTCCGGTCCAATAATTAATCAATCCAATTAATTAAACCCGGTCCGTGAATTAATTAATCCAATTAATTAATTCGAAAATATAAATAACAAATCCAATTAATTAATTTATCCAACGATTGTTAAATTAACCAATTGGCAATTTGCAATCTTCCAATTCTCTTTTGTGTGTGACCCATTAGGTTCCCGACCACGATACCTAACGATGTGAAATATTATTTTGATCTAATCAAAATTGATAAATTAAAGCACCCTTTTAATTTATCGTCAATTCACATTCGCCGTCCCTGATTGACATCTAGCAATGTGTCAGGGCAATACATGTGACGGGAAATGTCACGTGGTACGACAAAATCAAATTCGTTCGTTTAACGTGAAACTATAATCCCTTCGTCAATATGATCCGATCAATTACGAGATATGGAGTTGTGTCAATCTCAATCATCGATCATATCTTTCACTCCACTATTAAGTCAATATAAATCGAAACTCCTTTTCGACTTATGAGTACACCTTGGCCAAGGATTTCATCATCGACTTAATTGAATGAAAAGCAAATCATAATCTCCTACTATCTAAGAGTGACAAATCCTTTATTGATCAATCACAACCTTCATACGATTCTTGACATACCCGAACAATATCGTATTAGCGGCCCTTTTCAGAGCAACATCCAACACCGCCAAAGTATGACTGTCCTCATATAAGGTACTATGACGACCTCAAGTCAAAGGACCAATTCCACTACCGAACGTTAGAGATTAACCACTGACACTCAGATAGTTATTCATGTGGAATCTCTCGACGGGTCTCCAATGTTTTGTTCTATAACAAAAACATCCACGTGTTCATTTAAGTGTCACCACACTTTAGCTTGTGAGATCAGCTACTTACTTCACAAGTAAGAAATGTCATACGTGATGGTCTATCCGTAATAACGATATCCGTATCTCGTTATTACTTACGACCACGGATGATTTAAGATTCAATCAGATGTAATTTGTATCTCACAATCACAACTCCTTGTGATTAACAAATTACGAAGATTTGAATCTACGGACTCTATTATTTATTTAATTGTCTATTAATTAAATAATAGATCTGCCATTTAATTTCATTAATTATATATAAAAGTATTTATGTCCAAAGTTGATTGGACCTAGAGCATAATACTTACAATAATAACGTTTGTATTAATGAGTGTCTGACATGTCAGCTTAAGAGAGTAAAGCGGCTGACCTCTTGTCAATGTAATTAATGTATAATACAGTAATGTGAGACTTTGGTTAATTAGATGAAGCCACGTGGATCTAATCCAACGGTAACCACATCGGCTTGAATGCAATAAATAGAAACTCTTGTAACATTGTAAAGGATTAGCAAACGAATAGACAAACGTGGTACATTTACTCCCTCTCTCGTTCATCTCATATTGCTTTGCTTGAATTTAGATCACTTATATGTTTGGTGGAATCACTTGCAATTGTTGGTTTGTTTGCATCCACCATTGATCATATTGTCGGTGCCCAAACGTTTTTGTCTCTTGTCAAAGAGTGTCTCCTATGTCCATTGCCGCAACGACCCTTCGATTGAATCTCCAATCCAAATGCACCGAAATTTGCTTACGTGGATGCAAGTGAACTCGACATCTGTTGACACATTTTTTTGAGGTAAACACAGAACACTTAGAGGTTTAGTTGACTGGATTAGATAGCCTTTGGGACAATGTTTCCATACAGGTAAACATCTGGACAACCACATTGCGAGTTTGACCATTCTTTTGTAATTTTAATCGTGGTAAACTTATTCATCTGATTCTATGCCTTGCGGTAATTACTCCTTTCAGCATTGCAACATATAAATTTTCTTTTGCCCATATTTTTATGTTTGGTTTAAGTTCAAATAAAGGAGGGTTGTTATAAAACAGATTAGCATTTGAACCAAATTATTCTTTAATCGATTGGCTCAACCTTTGTCAATCTAATACCACTTTATTGAGAAATGAGATAATAGATTAATTTTGAAGAAATGACGAAAATTGAGGACTAAAAGAAAAATCTCACTCTTATTTTTCGAACTCATACAAAACTATTTATGCATGTAGCAAGAAACTGTTACATGCTTCTTCCTAGCAAGGATGATTCAAATAATTAACAAAAAACAGTTGATCCTCGTAACATACCTTACCCAACATCCAAAGATATGCAAACACAAACAACCGCTCTTTACACTTCTAATCATGCCCTCGTTGTTTTGTTAAATCCCTTGTCTACCTTTTCGTGTTTATTTTTCATAATCTTAAATTCCAAATATAAATACACAAGTATTTTCCCCAAAAAAAAATCATAAAATAGACGAAAAGTAACTAGTGTACAACAATAAGAAATTTTAGTTTTCCCTTTTGGCCGATGTCCAAAAAGGCCTTACTATAGATAAATTATATCAGCATTATATAAAATTTTCAGGACACAAGCTGCTTTCTATAATGGCACTTCCAGTGAAGAACCATTTGCAATGGCAGAGGCTTCAACTTTACTAACTAGACTTATTCCATCTGCTCATCCAATGATTGCATGTCGAGAATTGATTTGATGTCAAACTGTCGTGTGACTTGGACGAATTGTCATTTATTTTATTCGTTCCAAGTTATACTTCACCAGCTCTTCCAGCGCTATACGAAATGAATTCAGAGGGAGGCATTGAAGATTCTGAACTGCTAGATTAGCTTTCTCTCTTGCCAAGTCTTGTGCCCTGTGTATTCCTCCACATCTTTTGACAATCTCAATGGCCTCTTCGAGAGATCCAGTGTCGCAAAATTCAGATTCAATTATATCCCTCAATCTTGCTTCTTTCTTTAGTGCAAATATCACTGGTGCAGTTAGGTTACCATTTGCCAGGTCACTTCCCGCCGGTTTTCCCAGTTGCTCGGCTGATTGAGTGAAGTCCAGAATGTCATCAACAATTTGGAAGGAGAGACCAAAGTTCTTACCATACTGATACATCTGCTCGCTAATATAACTGTTGACCCCGCTGAAAATGGAGGCTCCTTTGGTGCTAGCAGAAATCAAGGAGGCAGTTTTGTAATAACTCTTGATCAGATATTCCTCCAGTTGAACATCACAGTCAAACAAACTAGATGCCTGCTTTATTTCACCACTAGCAAAATCTTTAATCACCTGCAATATTATCCAAACATAACTAGTTACATTTCACTGTAATGTGAAATTAACAAATTTGTTTCGAGGATAGATTATTTTTTGTTTTTCTGAGGATCAAGAATTAGGTTGTCATATTAGGTTCCTGGGATGTTCCTATTTTTACATGAAAAGTCTAGTACGGTATACCTGGCTGATAAGCTTTATGACTTCGAGATTTTCGAGATTGGCCAGGTACCATGATGACTGTGCAAACATAAAATCACCTGCCAGCACCGCCACTCTTGTACCATATAATTGATGCAGAGTCTCCTTTCCTGAAAATGGAGAGTAGATACGCGAGGTTATCCTAAGAAAAAGAACTACAAAAAATTTGAAAAAGCCAGCAGATAATTTGTTAAAATATCTCGAGCTCATAGTGAAACCCCTGGAGTTTGGCGATCTACTCGAAATTGTAAAATCATTTGTGGATCATCTTTCATGATTCAATAAAATAAAAGGACTTGGGGTGTAAGAAGCAGACTGATAAGGGATGAGAGACCAAAGAAGGCAAACACATCCATACATGGAAATGAATGTTTAGCATGACATTTATCGGGACAACTATTGAGCAATGAAGCTTTAGTATTCGGGTAATGGGTAAAATGAGGTTTTAACAGCTTGAAGTTTTCATTGAACTGGTTTCTGGAACAATAATCAAAGCTAATGTCCAAAAATTCATAAGTAAACAACAGCAAAACTTAAAAAGTGCTTTTCCTTTTTCTGTTGATGAAACTGGTTAATAGAGCCAGTGGACCTTGTTGACCGAGACAGTTTGAAGGCTAGATCGGAGATACAAAGCCAGTTTTCCTAGTTGTCTAACAAAAGAACACAGCTAGTCGATAACTTCAGCGGAGCAAAATACAACCACCAAAAATGAATCAATAGCACAAAGATTCAAAGGCTAACCTCTTCGCATGTCACTTTCATCTAATACATCGTCATGTATCAAACTTGCAGTGTGGATCATTTCAATGATCTCGGCTAACCTTCTATGTTCTTTTGTCAGTTCCCTGAAGAATTAAGGCATTCTATAAATGTTAACAACTTAATTTTCATCAGAGTATTATAAATAGGAAATCAGATAGCTCACTTCAAGCCAACAATTTCTGCAGTGGCTCTTGATACTAAAAAAACTAAAGCCGGTCTCATCCTCTTTCCACCAGCCCCAAAGATTTGCTCAGCAGCAGACATCAATACTGGATTTTCTGCACCAACAATCTAACAATAAATTCTTATCAGATATGCAAGTTGCAAGATATGGGGTTGCAATGAATAAACGGTCGGATATCGAAGAATGAAGTTGGGTACCAAACTTATAACAAATTTTTCAGAAACTACTTGTAGGATGCTTAGTGGCATACAGGCATAGAATGCGGTAACATGTACAAAATTAAGACGTCAACGACATTATGTGAAGTGATTGTTCCACCACTGTATCAGTAGGAATTATTAATGATTAAATTGAGTGGAAAATGATAACCGAAAGAACAATAAATAGCAGAAGAAACTGTAATGTAAAGCCAACACATCATGACACAGTGCAACTTCTTCGAATTAATTTTATGTACTCGACATACCTCGATGGATAAAAAGAATGAAGCAACACAATATTGCAGACTTCATCTTTAAAAAATATGACAACATCAAATTTTCTTCCTTCACTGAATTGCAAAATTTGTCTTATAACTACTATATTTAGCCTTCGGACAAAGTTACTGCAAAGTAAAATTATTTTTATTTTGGAATGTTAAAGCACAAATTATCTAATGGAAAGCATAGATTCTCTAATGAATATAAAACCATAACTTCATGGGATCTACAGCAGAAAGCTAATGATATATTCGAGGAGACTTAGATTAACGATGGATATCTAGATATTCATGAAAGTTACGCTGAGCATTCAGGCATCTTTGGTGTATGCTTTTCAGTCCACCACATTTCTTCCACTAACTATACTAGAGAAATGCCATGTGCTATACAGCCCCAGTTTGGTAAGAAGCATCTAAGTTTACACTGCCAGTATAGTGCTGCAGCACATCTCCAGCTATGGTCGAATTTGATTGCTTCCTCAATGGGAAAGTGCCTATCTAGTGGCATCAAATTCTACTCAACCCAGCTACTCTTAACCAGTCAGGTAATTTGTCACACAAACTAAATCGTCAGTAACAAAATGCTCGTCTTGGCATGCTGTTCTTACATCACGAGAAAATATAACATCATTATTATTATTCCATCAAATTGGGGCCTCAGGATCAGAATTACACACATTTGAAATCAATGGTTGAATTAATAGCCTAAAACGAGCAAACTAATATATATCATTCAAAGTAAGCACAAAACACTTTATAAGCCTATTCTTTGTTCTTAATTTTGAAACCGTACCAGATTCTAGCTGTTCGGTGCAAAAATACAGAACACAGTTTTCAAAGCATATAAATCAATATGAATCTTGTCGACGAGAAACTTACTGACTGCAAATTCTTGTTCAGTGTTTGAAGGTCTTCAGCAACTACTTCAAATAAATTTGTCAGCGAAGCAGGGCTTCTTAACTCTTTCTTCAAATCTAGCACTTGTGGAGTATCTGCTGTAACCGCTAAAATGATACCAAAATGAAATAAATATCACAATCTAAAAGAATAAAAGTTCAAAAACCTAGTTCAGCTATTAAACCAATAAAATTGGACCGAGGGGAAAAAACAGCAGTACCTGTGAGCAAAGCTTCTGGAGTTTTTGTCTGTGGACCAATTTCAGGCTGAAAACACACCAATTTTCGAGGTTTATAGCCTCTGTTGACATTTCTAACCGCTCCCTTAGCATAACTCCTTACAGGAAATCGGTCAAAAGAGGCATTTGAAGTGCATCCACAAGCCAAAAAATCCAACATTGTTCTTCCAAACTCAAGATTATGGCATGCCACTGCCGTCATTCTCAAACTAAATTCAATCAAAAAGCAAAACCACTAAGATTTACCAGAACCCACCTCAATTTCGCATTTCCCACACACCTACCAAGTGAAAACTCATTCCAAGAAATAAAGAATAGAATTTTTTTTAAATAACTAAAAAGCTATTGTATGCTGAAAGAGAAAAGGAGCTGGAGTTACGTATGGAATTGCAGAAAATTGAGTGGATCAGAAAATACCACATAGTTTTGTTACATAAATGATCAGGAAATGAAGGAGGAAGTAAATTGATATATTATGGAAAAGGCTTCGTAGTTGAAAGGAGTGGACGGTGGACCTTCTTATCTTAACACTAATATTTGTCAGAGGCTAGTGAGTTAATAGTTCCAATTTTCATTTAACTTAAGTTCAGGTCTTTAATTGATCATTGAAATTTAAAATTTTGAGTTTTGATAATTGAATTTAGATTTATATCTTCGCTTATTAATTTGACTACTAAACTTTGAAAAATATTGTACATCACTCACTGAACTTTGAAACATATTGTACATTATTCATTTAATTTTGAAAAATATTGTATATTACTCGTTGTAAATTTAATATTTTTCAAAGTTCAACAGTTATATTAATGACGGTATATTTAAAAATTCAGTGATCAAAACTCAATATTTTAAATTTCAGTGAGCAATTTGAGACGTAAATCTAAGTTCAGTGAACAATCGAAAATATTGACCTAAGTTTAGTGATCAAAATTCAACATTTTAAATCTCTGTGACCAATAAAAGATATAAACTTAAATTCAGTGATCATTGGAATAATTAAGTCGCGGCTGGTGGTACGAGAGACAGATTCTGCCAATGTGTGTGATGCCAAATGACCCTTAGATATTGCCCTTGTTTGAGTCTCATTTTGGTGGAGAGAATGAATTTTTGAATAGTGTATTGATGGAAAATGTGTGGTTAAAAAATAAAGAAAAATTTTGAATTTACGTGTAATATTATTTTATTGAAGGATGTGTAGTTAAAATAATGTCAAAACACTATTTAAGAATATTATTATTATTATTATTATTATTATTATTATTATTATTATTATTATTTTAAAATGGGCTCAAACAAGGGCATTATTATGGCGCAGGAAATTATTGGTACTTTTTGAAAACTGGTGATGCAAGTGAAAATGAGGTCAAACAATTTTGTGATAGAAAAATAACCATCGTTATTATCCAATAACAAATGTAAATTAAATATGAATATAAATTTCATTAAGCTGAAAAATATTTTGGATTAGACTGGTCAATGACACGCAATTGGATCAATATCCAATAACAAATGTAAAATAAATATAAATATAAATTTTATTAAGGGTCCGTTTGATTGTAAATGTGAAATTTGGGTGGAAAGAAAATGAATTGTAGGGAATTGAATTACTTGAAAATTGTAAATTATTGTATTTGATTGATATAATTTTTCACGTGAAAATTATTGAAAATAAAAGTATTTTTTGTGTTCGTTTGATTTTATTTTATATGAAAATTGTCAATTAAAAAGATGAAATTTACTGATATTGGGGATGAAATTTATTTTTATTGCCAAAAAAATAAAAAATTCAAGAAAATCATCTATCTTTTGGTGTTCGTTTGACTTTGTTTTACATGAAAATTGTCAATTAAAGGAAAATATTTTTTTACAATAATTTTTAGAATTTGTTTCCATTACTCAAAAAAAAAAAAAGACGTTAATAGTAACCGAAAAATCAATTCCCACCATATTTTCCCACAAAAGCTAGAAAAAAAAAATCAGTCCCAAAAAAATCAAGAATTTAATTTTCATGGAAAATAAAGTCTATCAAATACCATAAAAAGTGGAAGCTGGAAAATGATTTTCATGGAATTTAACCTCTATCAAACGTGGCATAAGCTGAAAAATATTTTTGTCACACATTACAATGAATTCTCCAAGGTGTTAATTATATTTTTTATTTGACACTCGACCTCAAGGCAGGCATCACTAGTCTTCCTTGGCCTGTTTATCATCCCCCACCCTGGTGACTTAAGTTCATTATTTTGCCATCGGCTTTCTATGCTTCTTGGCGATGGCTTGGCTTGGCTTGGCCATTCAATATGCGATGTCACTGAGGCACATTATTTTTTGGGTAATTCGCATAAAACATTCTTACCTTTTATGATTTTTGTGAAAAACGTCCATACCTTTCATTTTTGGCACATTTCATCCCTACCTTTACCTTTTTCTTGTGGAAAACATCATTTTCATCATTTTTCTCAATAAAAAGTTATAAAATGACTAATATATCATTCTATTTAAATTTAAAAAAAATAAAGAACTAAGAGTGTGTTTGATTGACATGGAAAATATTACCTAGAAAAGAAAATATTTTCCATCTTTTGTGGAAAATAAAAACCACCTCTACCCAAGGAAAATATTTTTCTTAAAGACAAGGAAAATTATGCATATTTTCAAAAGTTGGAAAATGTTTTCCATGGAAAAAAATAGCAATCAAACACTCCAAGTGAAAATTTGGGTGGAAAACTGATATTTTTCATGGAAAATAAATGTAATCAAACACACTTTAATTGCAATCATAGTTTCAATTTCTAAAAAAGTTCAAAAGAGGAGGTGGAGGTGGAGAATTTATTTATTTGGAACTACGATTGCATTTAGTTCTTTATTTTTTTATAAATTTAAATAGAAGGGTATATTAATCATTTTATAGCTTTTATTGAGATAAAATGATGAAAATGATGTTTTGCACAAGAAAAGGTAAATGTAGGGATGAAATGCACCAAAAAATGAAAGATATGAACGTTTTCTACAAAAATTATGAAAAGTATGGACGTTTTGTGCTAATTATCCTTATTTTTTGAAGAAGTTTAAAAGAAAGAAATATCGTGTCATTATTCCAATTGAAAACATCTTTTCATCATATAATTTGGACAAAATTGAAAAACAGAAGGAACAATACACAAATGTTGTCAAATCCTAAAAATCACAAACAGATGTAGTAAATGATTATAAAGAAAAAATGAAGAGAGAGAGAGAAAAAAAATTTTGATGCAAATCCAATACATCTATCTTGTCTAATTACAAGATAAAATCTGCTGTGGACGATTCCTACTTTGCTTTCAACTTAAGGGAAGCGCGGCAGATATGAAAGCAGTAAACATCAATCCACAAGAAGAAATTCTAGGAGTTGATATGGGGATTCAACGTATTATAAGAAGCACATACATGTTGATTCAACAGTGCTTGCCAATTGGTGGGGGGCCATCGTCAAATACACGAACCAATCACAAACAGCAAAATCGATCCAAAACAATTATGCAAAAATAATTGGATCAAGAAAACCGAAAACTCATGAATCGGGTTCATACCTCCAACCATTGATATTGTTTTAGATGCTCTCCTTTTGTTCCAATTAATGGCACTTCTAAACTCTCAACACTCTGAAATTGATGGTGTATATTCTGACGTTGGACCACATTTATCGAAGAGAAGAATCAGTTACAACAACTTCTTGACGAGGCATGATTATAATAGAAAGGTCTAGTTTTGACTTCAAATTGTTACTGATGTTCATGTGCTTCTTTAGCCCTCAAGCTCAGGAAATCAACAGGTGCAAAATTTTGGTAACATCAATTACCTATTGGCTTATAATAAGAAGACCATCCAGTTCCACTATCAAATTTGGTGGTTGATCTAGAAAATGTGGACTAGCAAATTAAAATAAATAGATCTTTATAACGAAAGGACAAAGGTACTCACTCAAATCAGGGCCGTCCCTAGTGCCAAGCCACCTAGGCAACCGCCTAGGGCCTCCAAAAATGTGGCTTGGGCCCAGGGCCTCAAAACTTAAGCATATGTCCATGTTTCAGCAAACTGTTCGAGTCTAGAAGTAAGAAGTCTAGGCTGTTCGGCAGAAACTTAAGCTTTTCAGCCTTCAGAAAATTGAAAGGACGTGAAGGAAATTGAAGGGACGAGAAGGGAATCTGAAAATTGAAGGGACAATTCGACCAAAAGGTATGTCATCTTCTTCAATTCAGAGAATCGGATTTTAGAATTCCCAAATCTCCTCTCGGCCTCTCCAAAAACTTTTCTGTTTTCCTAATATGTTTATTGGAATTGAAAATCCAGTTTTTTGATAGTGAATTAAGCAGATACAAATTTAAATTTGGAATAAATTTTGATGTTTTGCAACTTGGAAGGGAAGTTAAGAAAGAGACTATCATTCCTAACCCCAATTATCGTCTCCCAGTAGTCCTTCTTGTTGAGTACTGACTACCGATTGCATTTTAGAGCATGTTAATTTTAATTTTTCTTCATAAAAAGCAAAATTTACTTAATGTTTTCCAAATATATTTGGATATGTTATGTTTAAGTAAAATAAGTTAATTATTTAAAATTAACTCTTACCATACACTCAAAATAAGTGACTTATTTTTAGCTTTAACCAATAAGAAAAATTATTGATATTAGTAACTCATTTTGTACACTCAAATTTAATGACATATTTTTATCTTTAACCAATAGTAAATATTAGTTATATTAAAACTTAGTAATTTACTTAACTTATAAATAGACTTATTAAGCTTAACCCAACATGCTCTTTGTTTTACGTGTGATGAAATGTTATCTTAAGATGCTGCTTCAGATGTCCTGCTATCCATTCCTTGAGTATATCTAAAGATATGTAACCACAATTCATTTTTGGCATGGCATATACTGTTTGGCATCAAGCATTCTTTCCCATTAATAGAAACATTTTCACATTCTTCTTATTTCATGTGGGATGATTGAGAGCAGATACCGAGGTACTTCTGGCTATATTATGGTTGCAGTGCTTGGATTTTTTCTTGTTATGCAGATTTTGAAATTTTACTTTTGACTAATTCTTGAGGGTACATGAACAATTTTCTAAATGTTATTTGGTTATTTCTTGCAGGGCCTCAAAATAATTTTTTGCTTAGGGCTGGCACTGACTCAAATAGAGGAGTGTCGCAATGCAATAATAAGTTCCAGGGGTTTTGCTGTTCCAATATTCTCTGAACATGGCATTAAGCATGGATCAAATAAATTCTGATTTCACAGTGTATAAGCATTAAAAATGTTCACCCTTGTTAATCTAAACTTCCACAATAATTGATTTATGCCCTATGATTTCCAAATGGAATGGTCTATGAGAGTGTATATATAAATAAGTCACAGAGGCAATTGTCCGTGCTGCTCTAGCAACTCACTAACACTAACAAAAAGCTCAACCTGCTTTATAGTTTTGTCGATTTGATGCCATTAATTATTTGAACTGGAGAGACGTAACCCCATTAGGTTTCTTCGTATAAAGGAGGCCACAGGTAGATTAAGTAGAAACAATTTAATATTTTATATTACCATTATTTACATAAGTGGCTATCCTCAACTGTGAACCTACATTCTGATACTTGCTATCAGAGTTTTCTAGAAAGGTGCTTGGAAAATACAGTCAGGTTTCAAGGCAGTTAAGTGGATCAACTTCTCAGATCATGCTGTATTTTGCCCCCAAAAATACACCTTAACCCCCATTCCACTCAGCACCACCACCACGACGGCCCAAAAAAAAATATATATATTCTTCTTATTTTCCTTTTATGGATAATGAGCTACAAAGGTTCATTTCTTCGTATTCTCTATTAAGCAATGGGAATGTGAGATTTACGAGATCTATCATTCCACCCCCATTGCACAACCAAGAAAGGGATAAACAAATAAAATGGAAGAGAAGAAATACATAACATTGTCCACCAACCCCAGCAGTCTCTTCTTGCCTTCTTCCCAACTACCACAGGGAGCAATAGCATTATATAATTTCACTATCTAATAAACATAACGGTGAAAATATTTAAGCTATAGATAGATTCAATTCAATATGACACAAGCACTTTAACAATGACAGCACTAGTAGAATCCCATGAGTTCTAAACAAAATATACTTGGTGGACCACACGAGCGTAAGGAAATCTATGATGCACCGACACGAATTTTTCAAAAAGTACTAACATGACGTGTGGCAGACACGTTCTTTAAAATTTTTCATCATGATCGAGTGACCAATGATTGTTGATATCCAACATATGTCAAACATGACAAATCACCCTAATTGAAGTGTTCGTGCAACACAGAAGATGATCAAATCCAGTGGAAATCCATAAAAAGTAGGACTAACAGCATTAAATGAGATTACACCCGATGAGTTTCCTCTCAGTGCCCTTTTTCCAAGCAATGTAAAATTGCTCATCAGTAAACCGCTGTATCCATTCTTCATCACTTACCAAACTAAAACATTCGTTGTCCATCTCATGTCAATTGTCACATATTGAAAACTCAGTTGGAATTGGATTGAAATGAGAATACACGCTTCATGTAGTATAATTTTAACATTGCAATATAAATTTAAGAAAAATGCATCCATGCTCCTTGTTCTATAGCACTTTGAGTGCCATCAATTTTTCTTAGCATTTGGTCACCAACTCTAATTTTTGTGGCATTTGGATTCTGAGGCAGGGAAGCTTGGGGGTCGGTTGGGAAAAATTACCTTTTTCTTCTCCCTTTCCATTTTTTCTTTTCTTTTATGGATTACACAATACTCTCTTAAGCGAATTTGTCACGTACGAGACACGTTGCCAATTAAGGGCAATATTGAACAAAATCCATAGCCAGCATTTGGAATTGAATGTTAGACTCAAATGCCAAATGATGTCCCAAGTGTTCATTAAGCATAGAACTAGGGCAGTAAATAAAGAATATAAGTGCAATTTTCCCTATAAATTAGGTATCTTTTAAAAGCCCTACATCATCCAATCTGAAAATCATAAGCCACGAAGAAGTTCATATGAATTGTAACCATTGTACTGAAATAGTTATAATTAGGGTTCCTTTAATAGTCCCATCATCATTCAATGTCGAAGAACATAGCCATAAAGAATTTCACTTTAGATATAACAATTGTAGGTTGCCTATATATTCTCATTTTAAAAAAAATAAAAATAAAAAATACATTCAATTAAAGTATCTGCAAATCAAGTTCTCTTTTACATTCAGCTTGTAAACTATTAATCCAAGACACGACCATCTGCAAAGCAAGAAATAGCAGTATCCACATAGTGTCTCAATAAGCTATTTCTAATTTCTTATAAAAAGGGAACGAATGACTACTGTTGATGCAATAGTAAATTAATTCAATTTTACTGTGCATGATGTCATTTTTTTATTTTCCATTTTGTTTATGATCAAACAAATGTTCTTTCACATATCATGCCATTAGTATTAAAAAATAATAATAATTATTTGTTTAATATATATAAACTACTACGAGTAATAAATATAAAAAAAAGAACTCCGCACAGTGCGGAGAGTTAACAAACTCTTCGCATAGTGCAAAGCATTAAAAAAAACTCTCTGCACAGTGCGGAGAGTTGGCACCATGGCAAAACTCTCCACACAATGCTGAAAAAAAAAACTCTCCGCATAGTGCGAAGAGAGTTGAACCATGTACGGAATAAAAAAAAAAGTGCGGAGAGAAAAAAAACCTCTTCGCACAGTGCGGAGAGAGTTGAACGCCAACTCTTCGCACAATGCGGAGTATTAAAAAAAAAAACTCTGCACAGTACGAAGAGTTGACAAACTTTTCGTATAGTGCAAAGTATAAAAAAAAAACAAAAAAAACCTCTCCGCACAGTGCGGAGAGAGTTGAACCATGTGCGAAGTAAAAAAAAATGCAGAAAGAGTTGAACCATGTGCGGAGAGTTGACAAACTCTTCGCACAGTGCGGAGTAAAAAAAAATTATCGATAATTTTTTTCTTTTTTATCCTTCTCTGCTTTCCCTACTTTTCTCAATTTCTTTACGCAATATTTATTTTTCCCTACTTCTTTACGCCATTTATCTTTCTTCTCTCCTATAACCCTATTTCTTTTTCTCTCAACTCCTCTCTCTCAACCAAATTGTAAAATTTTTGTTCAATTCATATTTTATCTCTCAAACACCTTAATATTTTTATTGTTCAAGTCAAACTTTAATATTGTGCTGAAACACATCGAGAAATCAAGTCGATAATCCTTTTAGATACTTTGATGAAACTTATTTACTTGTTCAAACTCTAAGAAACTTTGTTATACGGTCTTGTTACAATTTCTCTGAACTCTTCTGGCAAGTTACCAAAATAATGTATCTTAAGACTTAAGCTCATTCATATCTTGCTTCTCGTCAAATTAGATATTTCATGGATTTGTAAGATTGCTCGCTCAATTTTACATTGTACCTAAATTTATACAATATCATACTCTAAAACTGGAGAAAAGAAGTAAAAGAGGAAAACATTAAAAAAGAAAGAGAAGAAAAAGAGACAAAATTATAACTCAAGATAACTGGAAAGATAAATTTTTTTCTGAAAAACATAATCTTTACTATGTAAAATTATTCCATGCTTATAATTTGCTCAAAATTGAGTAGGAAGTTTTCCAAAGTGATTTACAAAAATTTTTCTAACAGATCCCCTTCTTATGACAAGCATAAATACAAGTCCATGTTCCATATGTCATACAATAACAAAACATATTTTTCTTAATACTCCAACACTATATTTCCCAATTCTCTACAAAACACAAAAATGAAAGGCTTACCTTCGAAGCAAATGGTAACATTTTTCTTAAAAGTTTGTTGCTTTGTGTTTTTACCTTATATGGCTTATGATAATGTCTGATTGTTAATATAAGCACATTTTACTACTAACTAATTAATGTTAATCCTTATTGCTTATTAAATAATCTTGTGTTACATGAAAAATAATCATAAATTCGACCAGACTACTAGCACTAATGATCTTACTTTTGACCTGACTGAACCGATTGGAAAATCTTCCTCCCCCGGCAAAGTAGTTCCGATTCATTGTCCAGCCAACTGAAATTCTTTCAACAGAGAGCAATATATAATAAGCCTTTAAATAAGAAAATAATATATACAGAATACAAAAACTCTCATCAAGCTCTAAATCTAATTTTATTGTAATCTCATATACGTAACAATTCTCCCAGACTACTAGCACTAATGATCTTACTTTTGACCTGACTGAACCGATTGGAAAATCTTCCTCCCCCGGCAAAGTAGTTCCGATTCATTGTCCAGCCAACTGAAATTCTTTCAACAGAGAGCAATATATAATAAGCCTTTAAATAAGAAAATAATATATACAGAATACAAAAACTCTCATCAAGCTCTAAATCTAATTTTATTGTAATCTCATATACGTAACAATTCTCCACCAAAATTCTAATTTATTCACATAAATTCTCAATATGAAAGATAATATGCATTTGTAGGTTAATTATTTTAATCGATAGATAATAGGGCATGGTAAAAATGTTGGCCCAAAAAAAGTTTTAGTCCACCCCAAGTGGAAACTTTATCTCTACTTGCGGAGATATCAACTCTTCCCGCACAATGCAGGGAAATGGTCTTTTTTTTTAGTGGTAATTTTTTTCTTTTTTTTTTCTTCTCTGCTTTCCCTACTTTTCTCAGATATATATTTCTCTCGATGGTTTTTGACCATGGATTCTTGACAAAGGTATCTAAGTTTTTCATCTTTTACCTCAAACCTTAAAAATTGTTTTTAATATGATTTCTATTATTTTTCGCTTGTATAAAATACAGATCATAATGAACGTGTTTACTATTTTCCTTCTTTAATATACTTTATTTGGTGAGCAATACTTTTCATTTGTTAGGATGGCTTTAAAATGGGAAAGTCACTTGGAAAAAAATTAGCAATTTCATAACCATGATTCTTTTTTCTTTTTTTCTTTTTTTTTTTTAAAAAATTTTTCCTAAAATACAATTATATAAAAAGAAAACAATATTGAACTATAACATACTTAAGAAATTCAATATTAAATAAATTTTATATATTTATAACAAATTATAAATTCGTATTTGCAACTTACCGTATATGCTGTCTACCGCATTTTCATATATCGATTTTTACACTTATAAATACCGAGAATGCAGAACACCATACATTCATTTACCAAATCGAATGTAAAAAAAAATCTAGATTTTTATTTTTTCAACATAAGCAAAAAATAAATATTAAAATATATGAAGTACAAAATATAAACGCATATGAATATACAAGTCGATTTATAATTTTGTATTCAATCTTCAATTTTTCAATATTGAATTATACAAAATTTAGAAATATAATCTTCATATTTAAACAAGAAAATAATGTATACAGGATACAAAAACTCTCGTCAAGCTCTAAATCTAATTTCATTGTAATCTCATATATGTAACAATTCTCCACCAAAATTATAATTTATTCACATAAATTCTCAATGTGAAAGATAATATGCATTTGTAAGTTAATTATTTTAGTCGATAGATAGTAGGACATGGTAAAAAGGTTGTCCCCAAAAAAATTTTTAGTCCACCCAAAGTGGAAACATCATCTCTACTTGCGGAGAGATCAGCTCTCTCTGCACTGTGCGAAGAGATGGTCCTTTTTTTATCAGTAATTTTTTTTTCTTTTTTTCCTTTTCGCTTTCTCTACTTTTCTCAGATGCATATTCCTCTCGAAAATGGTTTTTTACCATGGATTTTTGACTAAATATCTAAGTTAGTTTTTCATCTTTTACCTCAAACCTTAAAAGATTGTTTCTAATGTGATTTCTAGCTATTTTTCACTTGTATAAAATACAGATCATAATGAATGTGTTTACTATTTTCCTCATTTAATCTACTTTATTTAGTCAATAATGCTTTTCATTTGTTAGGATGACTTTAAAATGGGAAAGTCACTGGGAAAAAATTTAGCAATTACATAATCATCCTTCTATTTTTTTTAATTCCCAAAAAAAAAATTATATAAAAAGAAGACAATATTGAATCAAAACATTTAGTTCTGAAGAGTTAAGAAATTTAATATTATAAATTTTATACATTTATAACAAATTATAAATCTATATATGCAGCTTGCCGTATTTGCATACTGTATATGCAACTTACCGTATTTGCAATTTACCGTATATGTTGTCTACCCTATTTGCAGGCAACTTACCGTATTTGTACCTTACCGCATTTGTAGCTTACTGTATATACTACCTGTCGTATTTGCAATTTACCGTATTTTCATATGCCCATTTTTGCACTTATAAATATTGAGAATGTAGAACACCATACATTCACTTACCAAAACGAATGTAAAAAAAAAATCTTATTTTTATTTTTTTAACATAAGCAGAAAATAAATATTAAAATATATGAAACACAAAATATAAACGCATATAAATATGCAAGTCGATTTATAACTTTGTGCTCAATCTTCAATTTTCCAATATTGAATTACAAAAATTTAGAAATATAATCTTCACACTCAACTCAATCATATCAACACTGTCAAAGCATACATGCAAAATTATTTGTATAACCTCGTATATTTCTTATTCAAGCATTAAATATACAAGCATATTTTTTCTAGATGATACAATACTGTTATGTTGTAAAAATAATTTGTACTTATTTTCTTATATCATGAAAATATTTTTAGATATTGCTTCAAAAATATTCCAAAAAACTAAAATTCATACGCTAATAAAAATACGATAAATATAAAATTCGTGCAACGCACGTGACAGTGACGAGTAATTTATAATTTATCCAAACACAAGACATATCCAACATCTTACTTGAACCACAAAACAAACAGTTAGTAAGCAAAATTGATTTCTACTTATTTTGAGCCAGTAGCTACAATTTGATCATCCAAAAAAAATCCAGCAAAATTGCAGAATAAAAATCAAAGTTTTCAGACTAAAATTCAGAAAGATGAAGAAATGCAATAAAAGATGGAAGAGACCTTGAGTGATGTCTGGTTTATGAGAAGAAGGTGAAGAGCCCATAGCAGAAAGTGAAAAGGAAATACTTGGGTGAAAAGTTTGATAGAGACTCGAAGAAGCTGCTATTATGCTATGAGAGGCCATTTGCCGTCGTGCTGGGATTTTCAACTGTTTCGCGCGGGTTAGTCGCTAACAATTAAGAAGGGATCAAACGATTGTGTAAGGGACAAACCTCTTGAGATAAAGTCCCAAAAAGGGGTGTTCTTTATTGGCGACGACTTTACAATCGGAAAGTAAAAACAGAATGCCTCCAAGGGGCACAAGCACACGAGTTACTGAAAGAAGTATTTAAATCTAAACTAAGAAATTGAAAGTTATATATTCTCTGTTTGAGAGTGTTTGATTCGAGGTCCTTTTCTCTATGTCTTTTCTTCCTTTTATACTCCTTGGATGATCTCTTTGTGATCAACCGCCTAAAAACCGTTTGATCGTTCTATAACTGCCCACTTTCCTCGTAATGGCCAACTTGTCATGGAACTGCCTTTTCTAACTGCTGCCATTACTCTTTATCGTTCAAACGTCTTCAATTGAATTCCTTGAATCGTGGAATGTGATGGGGCTGCTTAATAACTGCGCTTCTTGATAACCATAACACTTCATGTTTGCTAAGACCTTGGGCGACTCGAAGATTTGGGCGAGAATAGAGTAGCAGCTCTGGGTGACTGCATGGCATTCCATTCGCTCAGATCCTGGGCGACTTGCAAGCTTGGGCGATGGTGTTACAGCGTTCATGGGCCTCCCTATTTGGGCCTTCATCCTGAATTGTCTGATTGGGCTTCGTTCTTTGGGCTATCTGATTTGGGGATCCTCCAATTGGGCTTCATTCCTTGGGCCGTTTGATTTGGGCTGAATTTTTATGTGTCAACAATTACCCCCCAATATGACAAAATTAATACCAATTATTAAATTTTGCCATATTCACTTTTGTGTTTCCAGCAACATTTGAAATTCTCAAGAATTTCAATCATTGTTTTCTTCCATAGCTTGAAAAGGTGCGACGTTTTGCAAACCCTTATAACCCCCAAATACGCCATTTCACTGTACCATTAAATCACACCTCACTTTTTTTCGCTTCTCTCTCACAATTTTACTGTTCATCTCTTTTCTTCCCTGCTACGTAACTCTGAAAAACTCCATTCCGTCCCTAATGGCTACTTCACAATCTCAATCTGGCGACTCCTTTAGTTTTGAAGACTTTCAGAAACTCCTTAATCGTCCATACATAACTCCGAACTTTCTCGCACCTGCCAATGTCGAACTCAATGAGTTCTACCTAGGTCCTTTCTTCAACAATGCAGAGGCAGTCGAACAAGTGGCGGTGGGCCAGCTGTTTCCTTGTACTCAAGGCCCTCCTTTCTAAACTCTCTATCGCTTGGGCCACTTCGCAAAAGAGGTATTCGCACTTGGCCTAAATCTGATGTAGTTTTCCGTAGGTGGCATGCTCGCCTTGTGAACTATGGTCCTACTAAGGCACTTTTTGATAATGCTAGGATTTCTGATTTGTTAGAAATCTCTCTTCAACCCCCTACTTTTGATTCAGCACTTTTTTCGATCGCTTTAAGTTTTTGGTCTTCTGAGTATAATACATTTGTTTTCCCTCTTGGCCCCATGTCTATTACTTTAAGGGATGTTGGGGCCCTAGTGAATCTGCCACCTTTGGGCGATACCATTTTTCCTGGTATCTTAGTTTCTGGTGGTGCACCAAAGTTTGGTAAAAACCTCACCAAGTCTTATTCAAGCCTGCAAACCCTTCATAACCATTCGAGTGCTGAGCCTTCCCATACTGAGTGGGTGGCCTTTCTTCTGGTTTGGCTTTGTAAATATGTTTTGTGTGTGCCAAGCATAAAGCCCTCCCTGAGCTATTTATACATAGCGCACGAATTGGCGCGTGGTAGGCCTCTGAATTTATGTTCTTTCTTTTTGGCTGCTCTCTATAGAGGCATGGCTTCTCTTCAATCTCAATTGAAGAATGATGCATCTCCCACTGGTAGTGGATCTCTTTGGTTCACTCAAATGTGGTTGAGATCCTATTTTCCATCGTTTGGTGCTCCATCATTTTCTCGTCCTTCTGCTAGCTGCTATGGGCTAGCTATTGAGCCCCTGGCTCCTGTAAATATGTCTAGAAAGGACATTTTTTTATTCTTTTATTCTTTGGATTCAATCCCTTTCTTCTTTCCTTTTCCTCCCTTTTTGACTCCAGACTATGTGCATCCTCCCTCCACTATAGACAGCGCGAGCACCTCTCTGCTCGTTTGGATCCAGTTTTTAACCGAGAGGGAGTTATTTCATGATATTTTGACTGGGACTAATGCCAAGGCTGGGGTAGAAATATATGCTCCCCAATTTTTTGCTCGCCAACTTGGTTTCGGCTAAACCTGGCCTGTTCCTCCTTACTATTCAAGGAACTTGATAGACCGCTTCCATATTATTAATAAGGCGGAGGCAGAGGTTATAAATACTCGCAATCTTCTTTTGACGAGCCATTTTTCATTAGCCCCCTTCAATTCTAGCCATGTCATCCATCCCCTTTTTAAACAACTCTGGCCGTCAGTGAAGAGCAGATTGTTTACGACTGATGTCAATCGTGCCTTTCATTCACTGGACCAGCCAAGCATTTCTTCCCCTCCTCCTGTTTTAGTCACCCCTTTGTCCATCCGGAGTCCTTCTCCTCCTCGTCGCACTAAACAGTCTGCTCGTCCATCTTCTTCTCTCTCTGCCAAGCCTACTGCAGCCAAAAGTGCCCCAAGCCGCAAACGACCAGCCTCAGCATCTCCCATTCTGGAGGATGATGTTGATGATGATGATGATGATGATTATGATACCCCTCTTATCATTAGGAGGAAGGTAATTAAATTGGTTTACTCACAATCATACTTTTCCATATTTGAAACTTTTCTGTGTGCTGATGGTTTATTTGGACTTCTCAGAAAAGTTCAACCTCTCCTTCGAAGGCCTTGGTGTCGGCAGCTCCTGCTCCATCATCCTCCGCTGAGGCTGCTTCATCCAAACCAACTGATGAAGGGACTAAAAATAAAGAGACATCTTCAGTCCCAGAATCCTCATCACAACCAATGGATGAGCCACCTTCTTCCCAAGGCGTCGACCCCCCAAACATCGAAGCAGAAGGTAATTCAGTTTTTTGGTGCTTTACCTTTGCTTGTGCTATTGGTTTCTGATTTGTTGCTTTTGAGTTCTGTAGATACACCTATGAGTCTGCCCGTTGTGGCAACATCTTCTCACTCAGACAAGGGGAAGTCCTCACGAATGGTGGAGCCACAGGTGGCAGACTTGGCTGGGGATATGCCATCTTTCAAGATTATTGATGAGGTAATCTTTGCTTCACTTTTATTTCCATCTTGTTCGTTGTAGTGAGAATCTTCAATATTGGCAATTTTCTTTGTAGGATGCTGATAAGATTGTTCGTTCCATCCAAGACTTGTTCGCTTCCTGAGGGCAAGTCAAGACATCTCGCCCTGCTCCAGCTGGTCGTCCTGCTACTTCTTCAGAGGAAGATATGAAATTCCTCAAGCAGTCGATATTTGAGTACGTGTCCTTCATGGATATGGACATTGGTAAGGCTAGTGCTGCCAGACATAAGGATAAGCTTGAGCATTTGAATGCGAAGTTGGAGCAAGCACTGACACTTCCATCGCTCAATCTTTCTGCTGATTTTAAAGCGACGTTGAAAGTTATCCATTCCGGGGTCCTCTCCTTGCTAGCCAAGAATGTTGAACTGAAAGCCAAAAGTACTCAATATCTTCGTGCCGTATCTTAAAAAGAGTCTTTGCTTCAGGAGATCAACAAAGCTGAGGACGAGTTGAAAGAAATCTCTTTTGAAGTCATGATTGAAGACTCTTTGATGGCTAGTTTGACTGCTCAGATGAAGGAACTTCAAGCCACAAGCGTACTACTACAAGGCGAGAATGGCTGCTAAAAAGCGTAACGCCTCCCAAGAAATTGAGCGAACTAAGTCTTTGGTCGAGCAGTACAAGAAGTTGGAAGTTGATGATGATGTTGTGGCCGAATTGAACATCACTTCCTCTCGGCAGAACGAGGGCTGGGGAAAACTTAGGAAAAGAATTCGTTCGGTACAGGGCGGATTGTAATTAAGACATATAATGCCTTAATTTTTTCTTTTTATAATTTCGCATTTGACTTTCCCTTTGTAACCTTGTACATCATTAATGAACATCTATGTTAACTTCTTGTGCATTTATTTAACGTTTGTCTTTTAATCGCCAATCCTTCAAGCATTTAATTGCTTTGTGCTAAAAATCTTGCACATTTTCTCTTGATATTTCCACCTCTTTTCCCAAGACTTTGGGCTCCTTAATTCCATTTACTAGGCAGAATGTGGCTGCTCATATTCTGTCTCTTCATCTCCACCCCCTGTAAATGCACGCATGCTTCGCACTTTCCATCTTCCATCTTCATTTTCATTCTCTTCTTCGAAACCAATTTGCTGCCATTGTTTGGCATTCTGACAATCAATCCAAAACCTTCGTCTTCTATAAAAATGGATTGTTTGGTTCGCCCATTTTACTACTTGTCTTGATGTCACCTTTGGTATAGGAGATATAGGAAATATTTTTTGGTCAGCAGCGAAGTTTTTCCCATCAAAGTTCTTCCCATCTCTCTTTGTTCTTTACAAGGGGTTCGATGATGGAAGGCAATTTTTGGGATGCTTGCGGGTCACCTTGCTTGCTGAGAGTGCTTCTCAGCCTCTTTGCCCGTCATTGTGGCGATGCATTTAGGAAGGCGGTGCGAGGCCAGTCCACCCTCTTACTTGGCGATCGACTGGGAGATTAGCTTACTTTTAATTGTAGCTTGTAGAGCATCTATTATTTGTATCTTGCAACTTTGTAATGAACGTTTGATAATAAAGGAATTTATTTGAACGTATTTCGCTCTGACCTTTTTATCCTTAATCGTCCAGCATGTTTTGATTACGCTTTTATCTGTTCACTTTTCCATAAAGAAGGAACATATTTTTTCAAATATTTGCCGTTGATGATTCTCACGTGC